GTACAGTGAGGATCACGCGGTCCCCATCCTGGAAGGCGAGTAGCACCGACAGCACCCAAGCGTTTCGTGATCTCCTTCATATTCCTCTGCAAGTCAAGGGTTGGCCACCTCTCTCTTTACGTCGCTCTGAATTGGGCATGGAAAACAGCACTCTCTTCAGCAAACGATGGCTAGACATACGCAACACACGTCCCAACCAAAGCAGCTCTTGGTGACGGACACATTCTTCAATGGATGTACCCGTTGCGTAACCGAAGAATTGTCTTCTAATTGCCTCGTTACGGATACGCCGACACCAACCCACACAAGCTATGATTCTGAGACAACGATTGTCGAACACCTGAAGACGTCTCAGTTACGCCGCCCGAAAGGCCAAGTCTCACAGCTATACAACAAAACAGCCTGCACACACGTCCCTTGAGATTCAGGGATACATCACTCTGACGCCACAGGTGACCCAAGTTAGCAAAAGCGACCCGAGCCTTGCAGATTCGTGCATTGACCTCATCTGTTCAAAATATGCGAAACGCTCCACAACTTCCAGTACCTCTCCCTGGGTTGTAAGTGGCGTGTTCAGTGACTGTACCACCACGAGCATGAGCTTAGAGTGTGTTGCAAAGTGCATACCAAAGGACGGAATGACTGGTTGGTTCATTCAAAAAAAATCTGCCACCTTATTTTATTAGGGGCAAACCGGAAATCTCCACTTTGTTGACGCTCGTGTTGCTTCCAAATTGACCAGGTGAGCATGTGTGGAAGTAATGAAAAACTAGTTGAAAATCACATTTTGGCTGACGACAACATTCTGAATCCAATTGGTGATCCCGTAGGCTGTTAACGGCAGTTTTTGCAGTTGCCAACCATTCTCAGTGCAGCATTTAACGGACGGCGAGTGCTCACAACAGACAAGTCAAAATAGTTATTTATACATGGATGGGACTTCCCGCACTGTGCACACCGACTTGTCACCGTCCAATTGACCGGTCACAAGAAATGGCCAACCTGAAAACACGTTTACGTTGGTTTTACTTCTTCGTGAATGCTCAAGAAACCAATCGAAAACAAGAATTGAATTCCATCTACAGTGCAAATTCGAAGAGTGCGTCGTTTATCAGACCTACTTGTTAAACATCTCGGATAGCGTATACCCACAAGAGAACCAATTATCCTCAGTCCAGTATGGGCGGAAACATCAGAATGGATATACACTTTAAAAAGAAAGAGTAACGCGATTAAGAACTAATAATTAACTGTGAAGACAAACGTATCAAATCACATCCAACCCTGCCGGATTTTCCGAGCACAGCGCCTACGGATTATTGATTATTTGTGGAAAATACGATGCATTGGATCAATTTTCTTTGAGTTTCGGAAGGGGGGTCTTGATTTGGAATCATCTATCCCGGCATTGTATATTCCTCATGTTTTAGACGCTTAAGACCATGACATTAGTGTTCTGTTTAAATTTAAATTAGGGAAGAGAAAAAGTTTGAAAGTCTAGCTCTGTGTGGGGCTCATCAGTCTACTTATATCAATTTATGTCACAAATTCCTATTATGAAAGCGACTCCAGTACGGATATCTGGCATCTTATTGCCCTATATTCCAGTTAGAAGCCTCATCGTACCAGTGTGTCGTGTACAGATCAGGTAAATGAGTCCTCTTTACCTGTCTGTTTGACCATAGTGATCCAGCAGTAAGCACGATTCTTCCAAGCACTCGGGTGCATAGGTTGACGGGCACAAACGCCCTTATTTGGGGAACTCGTCACCTGGTTATCCTCATTTTACAAGACAGTTGCGAGAGCTGACTAACAAAGTTGAAAATCCGTTCTTTCAAGTGACTTCCATTTATGTCATTGCCCAGGCTTACGGGGTCCTTCCCACAAACAAGAAAGATGTGTGCATCTTTTCTCTCTCCTATCACGTATAAAGTGATATCGCTTACGTCAACAGTTGAATTATTGATTTTTGTAGCATGACAAATCGATCGCGCCTTCACGGTGACCTTGGCTCACAGATTTGCACGATGCTGTTTTAACAGGCAGCGGTTACATTATCCTAACAAAGCTTATGTAATTTGGCGAGTCTACCGCAATGTCTACCTGTCTTTTCGGCAAGCATAATGAACCATGAATGCTTTCACAGAACTGACTGCGATGCCGGGACAAACTTACAATGTTGTGGAAGTGTACAACATCTAAAACATTACGAAGCGGAGTTTGTTCCACCACCTCCTCCTCCTCATCCTGTAAACGTTTTCGGTTCAAAGACATGCGAACGTCACCACTCTCGGAACAAGGATAATCGACAAACAGTTAACCAGAGAAACACATCTTTTATCGACCAAGACGATGGATTATCTTTAGGGAAGCAGACATTATGTAACCAGTGGAGCTTTCAGGGGCCAAACATCTGTAGCCTGCAGCCAGCAAACATAGTACATTTAGATGGTGATGCAGCCTGTTCAAACTCTAAGGTACATAATTTTTCTAAAGACAACATACCGACCGGAGCTAAATTGACTCCTACATTCCTTGTTCCCAATGCACAAGCCTCTTCGGTCAGAACAAACGCGACCAATGTGAGCCCTCATGGTTTATTTAATTCAGTTTCTTCGTCGGGTGATTATCTTGCATCTCAGGCAAATGTTCCTCCATCCAAAACCGAAAGGAATGTGGAAACGTCATTCACTGCATCCAACTCGAACTCTTTCGGACTAGTCATAACCACTAACCTCGACTCAGACAACCAGAATCGACAGGTGTCACAATTTGAAACACCATTTTTGAACATTAAAGCTCTAGGAGGTTCTATTCCCCGAGTTCATGCAAAACCAGTGGTTTATGTGGATAATGTGCCACAGCGGAGATCCAGTTCCTTGGTGACTAGTGCGCCCGATAGAACCGACCTGCAGCGTCGCTATGTGACTGAATTAAAGCTGGATCTTCGTAGGGGTCGAGCTCATCGAATGACCTCTAACTGGCGCTCAAACTCAAGTGGACGTGCTAGTCCAGCAGATGGCAGGGAAGAGATCTTCGAGACCGACCCGGTTCCAGTAAAAGCCATATTGTGCCGAGCGGCACCAAGCAATTGCATCGAAGATGATATACTCACACTAGGAACTCACTTTGAAGGTTATGTTCTCAAGCCACCTCCTCCTTATTGTGAGAAAAACCACTCTGTTTTCAAAACGTCACCTGAGTGCGACATAATCAGAGAGTCAAGAACGTGTTCTACTGCTACAACGGAAGACAAACTAAGCACACGTCGATCTAATTTAGATTACCCCGGAGCAGCCGCCGTGAATGTAAAGTGTGCCACACCACAAAACAATCTGGCGTGTCTCGGAAGCTTGGGAGTAACTTACTCCGCAGAACAGCTCAAGGCAAAAAGAACACCTCAATTTAACTTGATGGAACAGAGCCAGATTAGTCCATCAACTATCTCTAGCACTTCTACTGGTGGACTCAAAGGACGTAATTTATCCACGGACTCGACGCTGCCGCCTCCAACCTCCAACACACCTAGGTGGACAAACACTCAACCAGAAACGGTGGAAATTAACGAATCGCTCAACGATGCATGTTTTCCAAAATTTCAGACAACCTTCAGCCGTGTTCAAAGGGAAATCTGCCTTGACGACACCAGCAGGACAAGTGCATACACACACCTACATTCCCCCACAACTGAGAAGCCACCTTCGGTGAAAACGTCTGGGGACTGTGTTAGCTCCAAGACTGTTGTGTCTCCCGTTGCGGGAAAAACGTCACGTGGCACACAATCGGAACAGTTTAAAACGGTCAAAGTTGTCCGAGATGTACAAATTCAAACTGGACCGTTCGAAGACCAAGAGACACAAACAACTGGATCACAGGCTTCAAACAAGGTAGGTACTCAAACCAGACACAACCAGTGTACAAAAAAAAACAGGAAAGCACTAGACAAAACCAAGGTAGGCGCATCATAAACGATAGATTCATTTGGGTCTCGTAAAGATCAAATTGGTATGCAGTTGACTGTATTTCGCTAACTTCATGAGATTTGAGTTCAAATAGAACACAAGGTTGAGGTTTACTCGGGGAAGGGCGAAATCGGTCTGGGGCTGCCGAGGAGTTCTCAGCAACCCCATGTGTAGGGCATCACGCCTGTGATACACTACGCTGGTCATTAGGCAAAATTCCAGATAAGCCCGTCTTCCTTCCCCCCAAGAAGAACGAACCGGATGAGTTATCTGCCTGTTTAGAACAATAATTATTTCAAACAGGAACCATCTAATCAGATTGTTTGGGACTGGAGCTGTGAGCAGAAGATTATCTAAAGGCTTTCAGTGCTTTCTTGGGTAGCAAGACTACGAGGTTGATAAAACTCTCGGCTTCAGTTACCTGAGTTACTACCGTAGTAGTTTTGTTATGATCAGTCGCCTGTGGCCGAACGGTTGGGTGTCAACCTAATAGCCGGGAAGTCGCGAGTTCGACACTCCCTGAAGTTTCGTGAGGTATGCAATACCGATGGTTCTCAATAAGGATAAAGCAGCTGTGCATTGCTTCTAGGCTTTCCAGCACAGATTGGCTTCACAGGGGGAAATCTTAGTTGAAAACCATTAGGCTATGCCTGTGTGTACGGTTGATGAAGGGATTGGTGGAACAGACCTCAGAGGAAGAACAGATCAGAGTTATTAGTCAGTCTCAGGATCCCCTGAACTCGTGATGAACACGTACTGCGTTTCGGGGCAAACGTGTAAATGGCGACAGTTTGATTGAAGAAGAGTTTTTGATTCGTAACCGTAAATTGGTTTGTAAAGCGCCTAATACATACTGAGTTGTACGCGCCTAGCATACAGCTTGGGCATTGTTTCTTGAAGTCTGATTATGAACTCACTGGACATCCACGCTGGTGACCTTGATAGTGCTGTATTCCTGGAATTGAATTGGCAAAGGGAAAAACGGACACTGTTCTAACTTACTCTCCTGTCCTCCTGTCTAGGTGTGGGCGCCCTGGCAGTATCCCAACCCACGTACAACCATGAATCACACATATACAAATAAACTCTCTTCTTACTTTTGTTACAGGCATGTGCTGCTCACCTCCCAGTAGACAGAGTTGCCAAAACACCCAAAAGCCATGCGCATCCAAATGAGACATGGTTGAAACATTCACCTAGTTACACTGAGAGCAGACAGGCAAGCAAGCCGCTACGCCGTCCGTTGATAGATGAAATCGGCTCGGTGCGACCGGGTGGCATGTCGTCTGTAGACCCCAATAAATCCAACACATTGTCTCGGGTTGAACATCCAGACTCCGTAAATGTTCAAGGAAACTCTCCAAAAGCCACAGTTGCCATTGGTGCAGGAGATCACGCAAATACGAATGACCGGAGACCTAGTCACATGACTGAAACACAGATGATCAACTCTTCTCGTCTAGGTGATGAAAGCAGAACTTTGTATCAGGTGGTACGTGGGCAACCAGTTGCTGAACCAAATCAGTGGGATAATTCAGAGGTGGCTAGAACAACGAATCCGCAGTTGTGTCAGAACCTACTCACTTTGACTGCCAAAGGCTTACCGACTTTGAAATGCCCACCAGCTCATGAAGAAAAGTTTGGCGTAAACACATCTGGATTGGTTCCCAGCTCACCTGACCTGATCCTAAACAATGTAACTGTTAAATCAGGAGAACAGCAACACACAACAAAGCCGATTCAAGATTCCGAAAGTGTGGGGACACGCGAGCAGGTCACATTTTCCATCTTCCAGAATGAGGGTGTTGTTCTGGTAGACGGCTTAAATACGCCTAATTTGTGTCAAAGTTCTATGCCTCAGTCACCAAATGTTGCAGTGTCATTCAAAAATGACCCACAGACTGTGGTGACTTTGACTGCGGGTACCGGTCCCCAGCCCCGAAAGGGTCCATGTGCGACAACAAGCGACGAATGCCAAACCAGTTCCAATCCTTGTAGCTGCTGTTGCCAACAGGCCGAGTGTGGATTGTCCGCAAGCAGCAGTTCGAGTGGGAGTCAAAGTTGCCAGTGCAGCTGTTGCTTAATTCCGAAACTCGATGCTGGCAATTGTGAGTTTAATGTGACAAGACTCCCATCAATACCTGAGACAAAGATAGGGGCCCTCATGAATACCAGATGTGTTGGAAAGACGGTTTATGATGATGGTACTCGCGGTCATACCTGTGACATTGTCTACGATCCTTCCAGAGAGGCGAGTGGACAAAACGCATATAGACAAAAGATGACCTCCACATCTTCCACTGGTTCATCCGCTTCATGCGACGAATGTAGCAGCCATTGTTCTTGTTATTCCGAATCCTGCGCTAGCGAAAACGTACCCGAACACTATTCACCAACAAGGAGGCCAAACAGTCCTTTTGTGAACAGTCGCAGTTACTCACGCCAGGATCTACATCCACTCGTAAAGAATGACGCCTCTAGAACAGCAACACTAAATCGCTTCATCCTAGGAGCAAATGAGACCCGCCAACAGCTTCGCAGTTACTCACGCCAGGATCTACATCCACCCGTAAAGAATGACGCCTCTGGAACAGCAACACTAAATCGCTTCATCCTAAGAGCAAATGAGACCCGCCAACAGCTTTCAAAACAAAGAAATGCTGCACAATCAGATGAGAGACCTACTTATAAAGATCATCGAAAGCCAAACTTAGTTTCTAACAAAACCGTTGCTAAACCAAGCTCCTCAAACCCATCCAAGCCGCCTGAGAGAATTCCCAGTCAAGTTCCGGCAACGGCACTTCAGCAGAAATCAGTAGAACAGGTCGAGCAGTCCGCAGGTCAGCAGGTACCTCAGAATACCGTGAAACCTGGTTCGAAGTTAGACACGCTTTTCAATATGGTAAGTGATAAGGAAAAAAGACTCATCTTACAAAGATGGCTTTTAGAGCAGGTGGCCTACTCAACAAAAAGAAATCAGCAGACACAAAATAAAAACGATAAAGCTCAGAGGAAACAGGAACGCTCTTCTCGAACAGGAAATGTGGAGGCTGGTAATGGGTCGGCAACTGAGTGTACCTGTACAAAATGTAGGAATGCAGCGGAAAGGCGTAGTTTGAGTGCGGATAGTAAAGATACATTGAACTGTTGTTTGGACGCGAATCAGAATACTCGATGTCAGTCAAACATACAACACGAGGGCCAACTGGCACCAAGCAACAGGTTTGGAAGGGAAAATATGAAAGCAGAGGTTGGACGTAATGAACACTGCTCACCGAGTCAAGCACGATTATCACGTGTTCAGACAGTCTTCAGACGGTCTTCTACTGAGACACCCCATCGAGCAGAGAACGACTCAAATATTTTTGGTCGACGAGATAGGCGAGCTACCAGTGAAGATCCCAGAATGAGTGCAATAGGAAATCCTATCAGAGCACCCACAGAACATATCATCGCACGCACGCGAGCCAGCCAATCGGCTGATAGAATGGCTTTCGACGACCAGTCACTACCAGCGATCATTGATCCTCAAGTTGCGAAACGCACACCCAGAGGAGATCCCGGTGATAGAGTTCGGAATTTGCATGAGATCAGATACTCCCCTGCAGGGGACGAAGACAGAGGTCTGAATTATGGCCACAAAAGTGCAGAAAAAGGAAACACCGGTGGACCTACAACGAATCATGGGGTCTTGAATGATCAACCCACAGACCTACGCAGGCTACCAGTGGGACTGATCCCACCGACCACCAGAAAAGGCGGTCCTGATGCGAACACTAGACCGGCATGGAATAACTATGCGATGAAACCTAGTCTTGAAGCAGTGCAAACATCTTTAAAGAAAGATGAAAGGTTGAATAGTGGACCAAAGTTTGGCCAAAGCCGCTTGAGAGCCAGTATGTTTGCTCCGTCGAATACGCCCACAGCGAATGTGGAACGCATTTTCGAACTCAGCCAATATGACGACCTGGTGAAAAGTCATCTTAATCGAGCTGACCGTAGAATAAAAGCGGTGGGTCTCAAAAACGGATGTGATATAAGAATAGTTGGACCGATTTCGACCAACGAACAGCCCATAGCAGGTACAGGACCAGGACGCTCGAAAGTGAGCTATCACTGTCATATTGCCGCGCCCACGGAGGAGAAAGTATGGAAGTGTGTGAACTTTTTGAAAGAAACCTTTCCAAACTCATTTCTCCGATCAAGTTGGAGAGCATGAATGTGGTGAAATAAACATGTACCATCTCGTTCAGTACTATGTTCAAAAGCAGGGATAGTGACGCATTGAATACCGTTTCTGCATATGGGATGAGACAGGATTTTGCTGCCAACTTCCTGAGATGTTGACAGAAGCACTCTCAAGCACACAAACTTTGCAAGTGGAAAATATAACTTTCTATCATTTTCTATCGAGTTTCCATCTCAGGATTGTATGCCTGATCCATCAAGCCACACAAAAACACGCGGGTAGATGATCAGACACTAGCTAGTCAGCTAGTCATTGAATCAGTTCATCAGGTAGCTGGAGTCGGATGCTTGTCAGTAAACTCATTAGGTTTCCCATATTCATCGGAACCTTCTTGTTACGAGTCAAGTTAGGGTGGTCTAAGAACACGGGACAAAGAACATTTTGGCGCAAAATGAACGTTGGACTGTTGGGTTGTTTGTGACGATCAAGACACACTTCAATCTTAAGGTAAACCACGGTTAGTTTTTGATAGGTAGACTGCCTCCGGGGTTCTGTGTGAACGCCTTTTTTATCGTACCACTATCGCGTTTCGTGCTCCTGTCCCACAAATAACTCAGCAAATTAAAACGGCCTCGTAAAACTTGAAAACTCTCAGAGGCTACCCAAGAATTTGAGTGAACCGCCGTGGACAAAAAAGTATTTCTCATTCGTTTAGATAGAAACTATGAGGTACAAAGGAAGCCAAACAACATAACATCATTTTAGATCGTTGTAGAAGGGTGTTCAGTATCGAACGATTATGAACTACCACGAACTTTCTTTGAATAGTGCTGAATTCGATGGACTAGATACTGGTTGTACGGCAGTGAAGCATCGGTGTTGAACATTGATGTCATGCTGTCGATGATGAGGATGATGATGGTTGGTGTGGATAGACCAATCTCCTGACAGAGACCTCGTGAGAACAGTGGAAACACGTATATAGACGAGCGAAGCGTTGACATTCATGACAGAACAAACCCATCAGTTATTTTGACTAGTGTGTACCTCAGCTTCTTACAAAGCCCACATCAGTCCCCTAACACTCAAGCACGAGAGTTTAAATTTCTTCGGAAAAGTACCGTAACTTCTGATTGCGAAAATGTTATGTCTGCTGATTCAAGGGACACTGGAGTAGACAACCATCTAAACGATTGTCCACACTATTCAGCTCAGCGGTAAAAACACTTGTCCTCATTAAATAATAAATTTCCCAAAGTATTTTTGATGACCTCACTAACCGCCGGTTCGATCCCGCTTTGTAATGATTCGCCAATCTGTGGTATCTGCTGCTGACCCGCTCCAGCGCCTAATGCCGAAAAAAAGACTCGCAGAAGGGAACATGTGAGCGTTAGTGCGTGCGAGTGCAAAAGTACAACGGCCTGAAGCTATTTATTGGAGGGACCCTGTCTGAACTTGGTCCAATGCTGACGCACACGGTCTGGCTTTGATAAGAGGCTGCGAAGCGCTGCACATTCCGGGGGCGTTGTCTGACATTGATCAACGCTGACTCTCACTGCCTGGGTTTGATACAAGGCTGTGAGGCACTGCACATTGAGGGTGTGTTGTCTGTCTGGTCAACATCTAGCAGAGCTGAGGGTATCGGTAGATTTCGGACATTCAGTGGTTGCTTTCAGGAAGCTGACCGTTCTGATAGAAAAGCAAGCCACCATTTCTGTGCCTAGCTGCCATGTCACCAGAAGGATGCTCGAGGGCTGGGATACTGCCAGGTTGCCCAAGCCTAGACAGGGGAAGTTGAGAGGTAGAGGTCGGGTTCGAACCGCAGGCCTACCGTGACGCTCTAACCACTAAGCCACTGATCCAGAACAAACTATAATCCATTCGAGAGACCACTGAAGACTTCACATAGTGGATTTCAGTCTGACAGAGAAACTTGAGAAAGTTGGTATTCACTTTGGTTGACCTAAACCGAAGCTCCAGTTCTTGTCATTAGACCGTAAAAAAGAGAGAAAATGTAAAGGGTATTGTGTTTTGCCATCCACACATGTGAAACAGTTCAAGCGCTTTACTTCAATATGGAAGAGCCACAAAAATGCTAGCGTAGGCTTTTGAACTACACTGCATAAACCCACGAGGTATTATGCCCCACAGCATGCAATTGGACCGACTGCGGTGGGCATGGGGACACACAGAAAAGGCAAATTATACAGACTGTACAACTTTGGTCACATTACATGTCCATTAGTAGTCAACTGCTTTCGCTAAACCATAGTGTTGACGTAAACCAATAATAAACTTTTGATCAGACTAAGGAAATCGCGGGCCGCAAAAATCGGTCGTTGTGTGAGGACTTTTGAGGTTACTAATGAGATATTTTCCTTTCTACTTGTATTGTATCCATGAACGAAGTGTCCTCGACGAACTAGGTGTGCGTAAAACAGTTCACTCACCTGTTGAATTAGATAGTTACTGATGCAACTGTAGGGCATACGTTCAGTCCTGTTGACCTTACATTTTTTGATGATTTACAGCTCATTCGATTGTAACATAAGCACTAGCTGCTTGTGGCCTTGTAAGACTGGCTTCAGTTGACGGTTGTTCACCATTGAATTGTTGCAGCTAGGCTGTGCTTAGTGAACAGCGTGTCCCGTTTCTCACGTACTACAGTGACAGTACTACAGACCTACGTGTATACTGAGGTACTGGTGGTCTGACACTATGGCCTCCACATTGAAAGACCTGAAGAACTGGATGGGCAATTAAGGGATGAGTTGTAGAGCTGGCAGCTCACTAGGATTCGTCTCCTACAATGCGCTTAAGCCATCGATGAGAGGCACAGTTAAACCATTTTCGGGAGAGTGTCGGTTACCATCTTGCTAGTGTTGTCTGAGTTTCCAATTACAGTTGATCGAAATTGGTGAATGTACCAGATTGGTGACCGCAACCTGGTTCAACACGTATAACCCTCTTGCTCTTCGCTGAAGACAACGCAAGAAGTGACGGTGTTAGAGGCGTTTGAGCGGCCAGGTTCTTTCCAGATTTCCTCACAAAGAGCCCGGAGGTTTAGGCATTTCAGAATGCTTGTTATGGGCCAGCGTCCGATCCGTCCCCCCAACCCAGTCTTCTGTCTTCTTTTCACTTTAGGGCTTTACGTTTTACGGCAGTGACGCATCTGGTCAACACAGATGGTACTGTTGGGACAAGTCAGATAGGAGTTTTCAGCAACCTTGTGAGTAGTTTCCTTCATGAAAGGTCAGGTAGGAGTTTGGAAAGGAAATACTTCTTGAGCTTACTGTGGAACGTTACTGAAAACTCTTCGATACTCTTCACCTTATAACCAACTGAACGCCAAACTGGACTAAGTGAAGATACAGATGAACGTTCTCTTACCACGTAAATCTGCATTTCAGGTAGATTCCACTGAATATCTATGAAAGTTGTCTTCCTCAGTGAACTTCAAAAGACTGTGCACTTTTCATTCCATTCCTCACTAAAGTACCTTTTTGAAGGTCGTCCGCAAACAAACCGATATTCGACCGGGTTGAATGTTCACTTCAAAATCCATCTGACCGTGCCCATATATTCCATCCGAGCAGTCAGATTCAGCTCACGCTTTCAACGTACAGCAAAGTGAGGAAAGGTAAAGCGGGATAAAGCAAAGAGCATCTGAATGCATTAAACTTTTGATTTTTTGGGCACAGAGTCTAGTGGTGAACGTGACAAACTATCGAACAATACTGGGCGTCACAGAATCCTACGCACGGTGGTCACTGTGGCCAGAACTAGGTAGTTAGAATGTAGGCATAGCGTGAAGCCGAATGAGGCGAAGAGAACTGACTACCGCATAAGGTCCTTTTGCAAAACTTACGAGAGGCACCAAAGGGCTTGTTGACCATAAGACTGAACCAACATAATCCTTTGGATTCCGATGCACTGAGGGAGATGTTTAACAGGTAGGTAGTAATTTCCCGCCGTACGGCAAGAGATCGTGATAGGAAACAATTAACCCCAATGGAAGGAACAAAGTCATCAAGACGTTTAGAAGACAGACAGCGATGTCGGCCAGAGATACCAGAATTCAGGTGGCAGTTGTATAGGTGTTTTTGTTGACCAATTAGTAGATTCAGCCTTCCTGTTCAGCGCCAAAGGAACCGAATGCTAAACTGTAAATTATCACGAAGCACTACTGATAACGCACAGCTACACCTTTATTTTCAGCTGTCAACTTGGTAGAAAAACCTTGGAGCAACTTTCTAGGCATGCGGTTATTGTAACGAAGGACAGTATGAAATTGAGTAATCCGTGGAAGAAGGCACTGACCCTAGTGAGTTGGTGTATCCATGTCATTTAATCAGTTCCAAGGCGGAAGCCGATCCTCTGCCGTCGATCAAGTAGAATGCAGTTTTCTTTGGGTAAAAAGTTCGAAATGATGTTGACAAATACTAGACATATAAAACGAATCTGGTTGGAGGAACAAGAAATCGATGACTCCGCCCTAGCAAAGGAGAAACACGGGTGTTGATGAAATAGTAGGCAATGTCGTCATCATCATCATCGACAGCTTGACATCAGTGTTCAACACCAATGCTTCAGGGCCGTAAAACCATGGTTTATTTGAAAGCCTTATTGTAAAGAAAAGAGTAAAGGTGGACGGGGAAGGGACTTAGTTCTAGCTTAACACAATCATTCCGAGGTGCCTACACCTCCAGACATTCACTCAGGCAATCTGGATAGAAACTGACAACAAGAATGCCACTCATATCGGTTGGCAGCCATATCTTGTAGTGTCTCCAACCAGGCACAGTGAGGATCACGCGGTCTCCATCCTGGAAGGCGAGTAGCACCGACAGCGCCCAAGCGTTTCGTGATCTCCTTCATGCTCCTCTGCCAGGTCATGGGTTGGCCACCTCTCTGTTTACGCCCCTCCGAATCGTGCATGGAAAAC